TGTCAGCAACATAGAAAATATTCTCCAGCCCCTTCCAGTTCTGAAGAAGAGTCATGTCAGACTCTTGAAGGACTAGGATGCACTGTAGTTAAAGGGGATTCTGTAGACGTACTGAATTTGGATTTCCAGAAGACATTTGACAATATGCCCTGTAAAAACTTATTGCAAAAAGAAGCTTATTGCACACAATAAGCTTGTAATGCTTTTCTTATTGGCAGGATGTGAAAAGTGGAGTGCTGTTGAACTCTGTGCTGGGGCCTCATCTTTTTATAATGCAGATCAATTGATTAGGTGAGGGGAACAAAGGCATGATAACTAAATTTGCAACTGACACAAAAATAGCTAGGAAAGTATGTTTGATGAGGTTGTAGCAGGTTACGACATATATAAATACGTTGAATGATTGGACAAGATCTGGCAGATGGAATAAAATGTGGGAAAATGTGAAGTTGTTCACTGTGGGCAGGGATTATTAAAAAAAAGGCTATTACTTAAATGGAGAAAATCTTCAGAATCCCAGTGTTCAGAGAGATGTTCCAATGCATGAGTCACTGAAAGCTAGTATGCAAATACAGCAAGAAATTAAGAACATTAATGGAATGCTGATGTCCTTTATTATGAGAGCAATTGAACATAAAAACAAGGATGTTATGTTTCAGTTATACAGGACATTGTTGAAACCACATCTCAAATATTGTGTACAGTTTTGGCCTCCTTATTTAAGGAAGGATATAAAAGAGTTGGAGGCAGTTCAGAGAGGTTTTACTAGATTGATAACTCTGTTTTTTGAAATAAAGTATCCAGAATATCTAGTGGTCTGATTCTCTTCTTGCAACAAGAATCAAGGAAGATTTTATTTTAACTGGTATAGTGAATTCTAAGAGCATGTTCTCATTTTTTTAACCTTTATACCTTTGCTAATGCCCACTTTTCTGAGGATTCCTTTGACATTCTTATTGCTGCAGTTGGTCTACTATTTAACTAACAGCAATTGGCTATTGTGTTTCCTGCCCTATTACAATTGAAGCTTTTTTTTGTATCACTTTCTGTTTCTAGTCTTTCACCTTTACTACTTAGGCGCTCTCTTACTTGTTCCCTAAAACATATATCTCTTCGATCTGCAAGTATTCCATTCCTCTAGTTTCCTTGTTGATTCCTGTATGAGCATGTTCCCACCTATAACTGTATGTGTAGGATAGACATAGAAACTGGAAGTGAAAGTAGGCCATTTGGTCCTTTGAGCCTGCTCCATCATTCAATATGATCATGGCTGATCCTCTATCTGAATGCCATTTTCCTGCTTTCTCTCCGTAACCCTTAAGATATATAACATATAAAAATTTATCAATCTTTATTGTACATACTCAGTGACCTGGCCTTCAAGTGTAGAGAATTCTACAGGTTGACCACCTGCTGAGTGAAGAAATGTTTTCTCAACTTAGTTCTAAATGGCCTACTCATAATCTGAGATTGTGATCCCTGGTTCCAGAATCTTGAACCAGGGGAAATACCCTCCTTGCATCTATTCTGTCTAGCCCTGTTAGAATTGTAATCATTTTAATCTCTCATAAACACTAGTGAATTCAGGCCGAATGGAACCAGTTTCTTCTCATATGTCAGTCCTGCTGTCCCCAGTATTAGCCTAGTGAATCTTCGCTCCACTCTCTTTATGGCAAGTATATTCTTTCATAGGTAGAGAGACCAAATCATAATTCTCCATGTGCAGTCTCACCAAGACATTGTAAACTGCAGTAAGACATCCTGAGTTCGAAACTCAAATACTCTTACAATGAAGGCTAACATACCATTTGCCCTCCTAATTGCTTACTGCACATGCCTGTTAACTTCCATTGATTAGTGTACAAGGATACCCAGATCCTTATATACATTCACATTTCCCATAAAATCACCATTTAAATGTTAACCCTAACCCTCATACTAACGGTGTCTTTCTATTTTTCACACCAAAGTGCATAAATTAACATCTTTCCACTTTATGGTGCATCTGACATGAGTATGCCAAACTTATCTAATAGTCCTGAAGCCTCCTTGCATCTTCCTCATAACTCACAATCCCACTTAGTTTTGTATCATCAGAAAACTTGGGAATATTGCATTTGATTCCTTTGTCCAAGCCATATACTTACCTAGGTTAAAAATATAGCAGGTCCTAAGTACTGATCCCTGCGGTACACCATTAATCACCCCTGCCACCTGGAAAAAGACCTATTTATTCCCATTCTCTGTTTCTGGTCTGTCAACCAATTTTCAATCCATGCCAGTATATTACCCCAATCCAATCTCTTTAATTTTGCCCACTTCTATGGGCTTATGAAAAGCATCCTTGAAATCCAAATATACCATATCGCTGATTCTATCTTATCAATTCTAAAAATTACATCCTCAAAAACACTGCAGTGGCTTAGTAAATATGATGAAGCAAGATGTCATAGGTATCTGCCAGAATTGCTGCTTTTCTGATATTTGAAATTTGATGCTCACCTAGATAAATGAAGGTTGACTGAAATGCTATTTTTGAATTCTTCCATAGTCATGATTTGCCTCACGTTCTCAAATTTGTTCTCTACCTTCAATGATCTAAACTACTGATCCTACAGCATTTCTTTTTTTCTTGTAGACTATACAAATGCCTGATTAGGTATGTTTCTTGTAGACCTAAATTTTAATTCAAAGTCAAGATCTTAAGCATTGAGTATTACTTTAACAGTTCTGTAATCTTCAGATTGTTCTTAGACAAACTGGCATTTACATTCATACTGTTTCCCAAAAATAATTGTAACAATGCAATCCAAACATCTTTTAGCCATTTTGTCTCCCAAGTTACATTTTCAAATGATGTGATTTATCTTTCAAGTCTAGCCTCAATAAATGTAGGCACTAAACGTAGATGGTTAATTAAGTCAAATCCCTCATTAGAATCATCCTCCGAGCTTTTACTATTAGTTTCTTCTTTTACTGTAAGCTTTTCTGTGTCCACGTTGTGCTGTTTGATTTCCTGATCACTTTAGAGTTCAAGATTTTGTGGCGAAGTTGAGTAGAGTATTTGTGGATTGGAAGACAAGACTCTGAACTTGATGTTTGTAAAATGATAGGGGGTGAAGAGTGCATGACCCCGTTAAAAGATGATGTGCTTTTTCTGTGCTTAGAGATTCAAAAAAAAAAGTCGGGGCTGCTTATGGGTTGCAGGTTTACAGACAGCTCCTGAAATTGAAAGATTTGTATTAAAGGCTGTATAGTTAGCAATCCAGGCAGCAGTTTTGTTTTGTTATCGAGGCAACCAGTTGAATATCAGCCAATTAATTTAAACCAGGCACTTAGAGACTAAAAACCAATTAAATTTGATGGTTTTGACAACATAGGTTCAATTGTATTGTAAGAAATTGATATGTCATCTAGGGTATAAAAGAACAGGACATTTGAAAATCAGTGTGAGAGCGACTTGCCATCTGATAGAGTTAACAACCATCAGCTCTAAAGAGTAAATCACTGGCTCTCACAGAATTCTCTAAGCTCTCAGAGTAACCATCATCTAACTAAAGGAACAGCAGCACTCTTAGCTAACAATCCTGGCACAAGAATTCGACAGAGAAAGGCATTCCTGATTGAAGATCAGTGGAAAAGGCACAGAACATTCCGGAAGACATATCCTGGCTGTAATTTTGAGAGACTTGAGTTTTTTTTTAATTATTTTGGTTTATATAAGTGGGATTTGTATTTATTAGAAGGCATACCATTAGAATCTTGTTTTATTCATGAATAGTTGGTAGTTAGAGGGGAATTGTTTGTTAATAGTTCAGTTAATTTTTTCACTGTTAGATTTAGATAAATAAATTGTTACTTATTGATTATAGAGTGAGTGTCATGAGTTTATTTCATTTAACTACCCCTTTATAACTGATTGGCGGTGAGAGGCAGGTTATACCACTTTTCACACTTCTTTTAACAGATGATAGGGCGAGGTGGGCTTCTCTGGCTATTTCGGTTTTAGTTATCGGGGGATGGGGGGGATCTTTATAACAATTTCTTGGTTCTATTTCCCATTCCACTGTTATTTTCATTCCTTTCTCTTTCCATTGCTCTTTGCTTTTCTTTCTCCCCGATGCCATTTTTCCTTTCTTTTTTATTTCACTTCCTCTCTATTTTCCCTGTGCCTTGTGTCTTTTCATTTCTAACTGAATCTTAGCCAATCCTAGCTGTTACATCTCAATTTCAGATTTTCCTCCTAATTCTAAATGTTGGTAATCACTTTCAGCATCTCATCATTACAAGATCCTGTTTTCATTTCAACTTGCAATTTATCTGATGACTTTCTCAGTTTAACCTTAAAGATTTCATCCTAGATTCTTGTGAATTGCAAAGAAAGCTAACAGTAAACATCTTTCCATTAACACTACAGGTTTTTGTAGACACCTGCTCTCTGATACATCCTGGATTACATCACTGTTCCAGAAGGAATCTCTGATCTTTGTTTATAGGAACTCATTCACATAAATAACCAGCACCAACCATCTGTTTTGAATTCCAAAATGATATTAATAAAAATATATAAATTCTACTTTAATCACGATATCTCTGGACTGGATTATGTTATCAGCTCTCGGAACAACATTCTAATTTAATTTGATATGTTTCTGTTCAGGTTTCTTTTTGTTTTAGTTACGATGCCTCTTTAAGGTTTGTCAATTTCTTAATTTGGTTCATTATCTTTTTTAATTTGCTCAAAATGTGTAGGGAGAGTCAGGTGGGACACCAGGGTAGTAGTTAGGAGGCAGCGATTGCATCCTGTGCGCATCTACTGTCAAGGAAAAGAATTGGTGTCTTGTACTTCAATACCTAGCTTGGGTCTATTCGGTACTTTTAGGTTGAATGGCTGTTATATTCAGTAGTATGTCTCCGAACAGTATTATGTTACTGATTGTTAACCTTGAGACAAATGTGCAAAAACACCTTGGTTCAGTTTGTAAATCATTTTTTTCCAGATATCAAGGCAAAGAGGGATGGGCACCAGCATCTTACTTAAAAAAAGTGAAGGATGATCTTACTCCACGAAAAAAGCCTCTTACTGGGCCAGTAGAGATCATTGGAAATATAATGGAGATAAGTAACCTACTGAATAAAAAATCATGCAGTGAAAAAGATGTTCAGACAGAGAACGAATCTAACTTTTATGATCATCCTCCACTCACGGCAAAGGAAATCAGTCTCCCACTGCCCTGTGACCAGACCAATGGTGATGCAACTGTATTGACAACAGCAGAGAAAAGACTTGGCCGAGGAGCTTCAGGGTCGCCGGCTGTTGCCCGGGTTGCTCCTCAGAGGGCAAACATAGGTATGTGATTGAAGGTACATTTTGTGTTCTGAAGCAGAGCTCTAGCATTTAAAAATGTTTATAATTTGGCAATCTTGAGCTAAAATCAGTTCCTTAGCAAAGTACTGCTATCATACATTTTCAAATTATAAAAGTTCTCTTAATTGTTGATAGACATTGTAAGACCATAAGACATAGGAACAGAAGAAGGCCATTCACCCATTGAATCTGATATTTCTCAACTCTGCTTTCCTGCCTTTTCCCCATAACCCTTGATTCCATTGCTGATTAAAAATCTGTCAAAAACATGAAAAAAATGTGTATGAATATACATAAACCCAGCCTCTACGGCCGTCTGTGGCAAAGAATTCCACAGATTCACTGCTATCTAAGAGAAGAAATTAAATGTCTTAAATGGGCAAACTCTTACACTAAGCTTATGCCCTCTGGTCTTAGATTTCCCCACAAAATGAAACAGCCTTTCTCCATATACCTGATAAGTCCTTTAAGAATCTGGTATGTTTCAATAAAGTTGCCTCATTCTTCTGAACTCCTATCAGCACAGGCGCAACCCATCAGCTTCTCCTTATAAGACAGCTCCTCCATACGTGAGATCATCTAATGGATTTTCTAAGGACTACCCCCAATTCCAGGATATCTTTCCTTAGATAAAAGGTGAATGTAACTGTTCACAGTATGCCAGTTGTGGTGTACCTAGTGCCTCGTTTAATTTAACTTTAGACTTCCTTACTTTTATACCTCATTCTCTTTGAATTAAAGGCCAACATTCCATTTGCCTTCCCTAATAACTCTAAACTTGTGTGGTGTTTTTTGTGATTAATGCAGGACTCCCAAATCCTTCTATGCTGTAGCTTTCTCCATTGAATAATATTCAGCTCCTCACATGTTCCTACATTGTATTCCATCTGCCCAAGTTTTGCCCACTTATTTAACCTGTTTATGTTTCTCTGTGGGCTCTTTATGTCATCCTCACTACATGCCTTCCTACCTACTAGTGAGTCATCTGCGAGCTTGGCTATCGTGCATTCACTTTCCTCATCCAAGTAATTGATATATTTGTAAATAATTCATCCTTGTGGTACTCCACTTGTTACACCTTGAAAACGCCCATTTATCCCAACTCTCTGCCTTCTATTAGTTAGCCAATCCTTTATGTCATACTCTTTTTGCATAAAGGTGTTACATTGGCAGTTTTCTAAACCTCTTGGACTTTTTTCAGAATCTAACGATTCCTGGAAGATTACTACCAGTGCATCAACCATCTCTGTAGCTACTTCCTTTGATATCCTAGGGTGCATCTCATCAGGTCCAGAGGACTTATCAGTCTTTAGCCCCATGAGTTTCCCTAGAACTTTTTTCCCAGTGATAGTTATTGTATTTATTTACTCTCTGCTTTTCCCCCTGATTTCTTAGTTTTTTTTGGAGTGCTATTAATATCTTTTACGGTGTAGACTGATGCATAATATTTATTCAGCTCATCTGCCATTTCCTGGTTCTGAAAAGGATTTATATTCTCTTTGGTCTCTCTCTTCCTAATTCTAACTGTTGTTGATAGAAAATTAGAGAGAAACGAACTTTTGAGTAGGGACTACAGATTTCATTGAGATGACAACTTTGCCACCTTATGTCTCCCACACCTGTCACTCTACTCCCCTCCCATTACCTATTCTGCTCACACCATCTGTCACGTTGCCCGTCCCCAACCCCAACACTCAATCATGTTACACACTTATCTTCTCTCCAAAACATTTCAAAGAGGCTTTAGGATATTTAAATCCTGTTCTCAGCAAAATTGTACATGTAATTTCTGTAGCATTATTGCATGAGACTAGGAAATGGCCTGAGTCCATGTTATATTATAAGTGACTTGGAAGGTGATGAAGGAAGAAAACAAAACGTAACACACCTCCATGTCATAAGCTATCCTCACCCACCGATGCCCTACCCCTGACCCACCTGTCACTTTGCGACTGTCACTCTTTCTCCTCACTTATCTGATATCCTAACCCCCCATCATCCTTCTATTCTCACCAGATGAGACCACATCTAGTGCACATTATGCAGTTTGGTTTCCACATTTAAAAAAATACTTGAGTTGTGATGAGGGTGCTTTCTTAGGAGGAAAGGCTGAACAAATTGTGTTTATATTCCTTGGAGCTTAGAAGCATGAGAAGCAACCTAGTTGAAATGCATCTGATTCTGAAGGGGCTTGATGGTGTAGATGCTGAGGGATTGGTTGCGCTGGTCAAGTAATCTAAAGTGCAGGGTCACAGTCTCAGGAAAGGGGTTAATCATTTCGGACTGAGATTTGCAATTTCTTCATTCAAAGGATTGTGAATCTTTGGAATTTTATATCCTCAACAGCTACAGAGTCTCGGTCGTTAAATACCTTGCAGACTGTGGAAAACATATTTTTCTGCCTCTCGGGAATCAGGTGTTCTGTGAAATGGGTGAGAATGTGATGTGAGAATTACCCCTAAAGTATTGAATGGCAGACTAGACTGCATAAGGCCTACTTCTGGTCCTTTTTCTTGTGTTTCAGTTGAAAAATTATACCTCCAACAATGCAATATTTACTCAGTATATCCAAGCCTATTGACAGCTCGTATGAGAGGTGAATTAGGGAAAGTGTTTTGGAAACTAGATTAAATGATGATATCTAAGCAATTACAAATATTTCAAGAATGAATTCATTATTTGCAACAAATAAATTGCTTGCCTTAAAGAACAAAATACTCTTGGGAAAAATCGATCAACTGTGGATAATAAATAGAAACTAAGGAACTGTAGGCCATTCAGCCCATTGAGCCTGTTTTACAATTCAACATCATTATGGCCTCAGTGCCTTTTCCCTTCACTACCATGTTAACCTTTTACACCATTGGTAATCAGAAATTTATTACTCTCCTTTTAACTACTGGTTTTCCACATCCTTCTGGAATAAGGAATTTTAAAGATCTACAACACTCAAAGTAAAAATAAAATTTCCTAATCTTGGTCATAAATAGTATCCTGATTAATTAGAACTTAAGCCCCCGGCTGTATCTACCCCATCTATCCATTTAGTAATGTGTAGGTTTCGTTGAGATCGCTTCTCGTTCTTCAATACTCCAGAAAATCAAGGAGCAGTTCAGAAAATTTCTTTTCATTGGATAATCCCACCATCCTTGGAACAAGTCTGGTGACCCTCGATTGTACTCCCTTTCTACCAAAAATATCTTTTCCTGTGATAAGATAATCAAAACAGTACCCCAGGTGCAGTCTAACCAAGTTCCTATGCAATTGACTTCACTACTGCTGTATTCAAGTCCTCTTATGATAAAAGCCAACATTTCATTAACTTGCCTAATAGCCTGCTGCTGCTGCTGCTGCTGCTGCTGCATATTAGCCTTCAGTCATTTATTGACAAGGCCACCAAGGTCCATTTGCACATCTACATTTTTCAACCTCTTACTATTTAAGAGATGCTCTCCATATCTGTTTCTTCTACCAACCTCACATATTCCACATTATATTCCATTTATCATGTTGTTGCCCAAATACAAAGCCTGTCCAAATCCTTCTGAAAATATTTTACATATTCCTAACAACATACTTTCCTACTTGGCTTTGCATTATCTGCAAATTTGGAAATATTACATTTGGTTATCAACTCCAAATCGTTGTGAACAACTGAGGCCCCAAGTACTGATCCTTGTGATGTCCCACTAGACTCAGTCTACCAACTCCAGAATGATTCATTTATTCCTACAATGTGCTTTCTGCCTGTTAACCAATCATTAATCTATGCCAATACATTGCTACCTATACCATGTGCTTTAATTTTACTAACCAACTTCCTTTGAAAGGACCTCATAAAAAGCCTTCGAAAAGTCCAAATATAATGCGTTCATCAACACTCATCAACTCCCCTTTATCAATTTTGTTAGTAGAAAAACTCCTACAAATTTGTCAAATACAATTTTTCCATTCACAAATCATGCTGACCATGCTCAATCAGATCATTTTTATCCACATATCCATTTACCATGCTCTTTATGATAGAATCTATTGTTTTCCTGACTATTGTGTAAGGCTGACAGGTCAGTAGTTCCCTGCTTTTTTCTCTTACTCCCTTCTTAAATAGTGTGGTGACATTTGCAAGCTCCTAATCTGCAGGAATCATTCCAGAATCTATAGAATGCTGGAAAATAATTACCAATGCATCAACTATCTCAATAGTCACCTCTTTCAACAGTCTAGGATGTTGACTATCAGGTCTTGGGAATTTATCACCTCTTAGCCCCATTAATTTCTTCAGGATGGTCTTCTTGCATGTGCTGTAGTAATTTCAACTAACCCCTCATTCTCCCTCGCCTCCTGGAGCTCTGGTTCTGGGAGGTTGCTTGTATCTTCCTCAGTGAAAACAAGAACAGTAATCATTTAACTTCTCTGCCATTTCACCATTCCATATAATAAATTCTCCCGTCTTTGCCTTTAACAGACCGATGTTCCCACAACAAATGTTAACAACAGTAACATATTAATGGAGGATATTCATAATGTTGCAAAGAAGAAAATACAGTAAACCTGAGGTTAGGGAGAATTCAGCTAAAGGTAATCAATGAATTATTTGATAAAGAGAATATGAGTAAATTGGCAAGAAACTTTAAAAAACCAATTGTAAAAGCTTCTAAAAGTAGGGTAAAATGGAAAAGATTATCAAAAGTAAATACGAGTCACTTAGAGGCGATGACTAGGAATATTAGAATGGTAAATGAGAAAATAAAACAGACATTAGACGAATAATTTATGAAGCTTATCTGTCTTTATGGCAGAAAACACAAAAATATTCAGCAACAATACCAACCCAAAGTTTGGTGAAAAAGAGGTACTTGCAATAGTATTAAAGGAAAAGTACTAGAGAAATTAATAAGATCTGGATATCTACAGATCACTGGATCTGATGATCTTCACCCTACAGTTTTAAAATAAATGGTGTTATAATCGCAGCTGATGATACTACCGGACAAGTCAGATCCCAGAAAGAAACTAGCTTTAAAGATCATTTTTTATTCAATTAGTCATATGGAAACAAGATGAAACAATGTGATCTTGCAGACATTGCAATGGTAACTGCCTTGATACAATTATGGGTTGAGCTTTGAAATCCCACACAGGTTTTCAGTGGATCTTTGGAAGTAATTCTAAAGAATTTTAGTGCAGCTTAACAGCCATTGGGATAGGATGGCCACCCACCATTTCAAATCACAAGTCTTGGTCCAGCAGCTGACATTTCTGTAATGGTGTCATGAGACATTTTCAGTTTGCAGCAGCAATCCACCTCACTGATCTGTAGGAAATGGCATTGAGAATGAAAGACTGTCAGCCTTCTGTACCTTCTCCACATCCTTTGGGAACATTCCGCAATTTCTTCATGTAGAACTCCATAGAGTCCCTACAGTGTGGAAACAGGCCATTTGGCCCAACAGGTCCACACTGACCCTCCGAAGAGCATCCCACCCAGATCTTACAACACCACCACCACCACCCCTCCCCCCCACCCCCCCCACCCTATCCCTGTAACCCTGCAACCCTGCATTTCCCATGGCTAATCCACCTAGCCTGCACATCCTTGGAGGAAACTGGAGCACCCGGAGGAAACCCATGCAGATACAGGAAGAATGTGCAAACTCCATACGGACGGTCAGCTGAGAGTGGAATCAAACCTGGGTCCCGGGTGCTGTGAGGCTGTTCAGTGGCCACTAGAGATGCCGTTGCCCTGTGCTTTCTGACACATTTCTTTCTTCTCAATTTCTCTGCACCATTGCTTCATTGTATTGTGCAATAACGGTGATACCTGATGTGGCTGGATCAATTGGTTACAGTCCCAGTGAATCTACATGGACCTTTGACATAATGGATCTTATTCCAATGTATCAGTACTAGATATGTTGTACAAATATGGTAGGAAATTATAAGTGCTATAGGATAACTGAAGCTGTCTCAGTCCATTCCATCCATAACCCCATCCTGACATCAGTGAAGAAAGGCAGCATTGGATATGAGTATGCTAGTAAGTACTTAGCCCAGTGTACCTATAAGGACTTGGATTGTCTTTATGAACTGTGGCCCTCAGGTGACACAGAAAGGTCATTGGAGATTACTTCTGCTTCATAAAGATGAGTACGATCAATTTGTAATGACCAATGACATGATCAAGATTGCTTATAGCCATGATTTGTATTCGACATAGTTGGTCACTGCGTGCGGTTCAATTGCAGGATTTTATGATCCCAGGTATCTTTTACCTGTATTGTGTAAGTGCCTGATTAATGCAATTGCCCCTTGAAGGACTTCACACTGCTGACAAACCACTCCCTCAGACAGAAAAAAAGCACTGTGCCATTTGTGGATGCAGCCAATTTTTATTTCCATTGGTTGAGAGAGGGACAAGATAGGCAATGCAGCATTCCAGGATTTAGATGTTTCAGGCGAGATATAGAGGGATGTAAAAGAGGGAGGTTGTGTTACTGATTAGGGAGAATATCACAGCTGTATTGAGGGAGAACACCTTGGAGGGCTCATCCGGCAAGGCCAAATGGGTATAGCTCAGGAATAGGAACAGTGCAATCACTTTGAGTTTATTACAGCCCTTCCAATAGCTGGCGGGAGGTAGAGAAAAAGATACGTGCACAGATTATAGAAAAATGTAAGAACAGCAGGGTTGTTGTGGTAACCAGGTGTAGAGCTGGATGAACACAGCAGGCCAAGCAGCATCGTAGGAGCAGGAAGGCTGACGTTTCGGGCCTAGACTCTTCATCAGAAA